ATCTTTTCACTTACAAGATTTTGAAACTAACGAAAGAGAAAAAAATGAAGAAACATTGAATGTGCGAATAATTACAGATGTATAAAAATAGACAGTATTTATTTTTAAATTTTGATCGACTATTTTTTATCGACTATTCTTGTATTTTACCATTATTCAAGAAACCCAAGTTCTCAACCTAAGATTGCAAATTTGAAAGTGTTTTCCGTTTATTTTATTATTATTGCTAATATGTTTTAACACAGTATTTATTTTTAATATAGAATATTTTCAAAGGGTTGAATAAAAGGCAAAACACGAGAAAGATAATGATTAAGGAGGGAAGATACGGAAAGAAATAAACAGAGAACAGAAATTGAAAGCGTATAATTTCACTCGTATTCGATCGTAGAGGCATGCGAAAAATAAATGCAGCGATCGATGTAAAATTTACAATCTTACTGTCTGCAATATAAAAAAAAGATGATACTCGCCGCGATTCTCCACCGACCTCAATCGTGATTGGAATCAGGAAGAAGGGATAGAAATTTGACGGATCGAAGGAGATTGCGGATGGTGGAGGGTGGGGAGGGGGTGGTTGCTCGATCAAACTTGACTTCTTCTCGTTGTAATTAACACGCATTTATCCGCACTTGCCGCAAGAACTTGCGCCGCAGGCTTGCCAATGGGCGGTCGTAGGTGGTTTGACAGGCAGACGAGGGTCTTTCAGCTTCTACAGCGATACTCTCTCTATCTTTCTCGCTAACCGAGACCAATCTTCACCGTGGCTGCCGGCGCACTCACCCACCGCTCACGCAAAGTGAAAAGAAAGCGCTAATGCAACCACGCAAAAAACACTACTGACCACGATAACGGCATTAAATTGCACACCGATACTCAGTGACAACTCATTTTAAGTTTCTACAATATACTTGTGAAGGGATCACGCAATCCCTTGTTGCAGGAGCACGACAGCGTGATGCTCGGTGAGATCTCGCCCCATCACGAATACTACGATAGCAAATCGTCGACGGAGACGCCGCCGAGTTACAATCAGCTTAATTACAACGAGAACATCGAGCGCTTCTTCAAGAGCAAACCGCCGGTCACCATGTACGCCAGCGACGAGGAGAACGTTAATTCCAGCAATGACGAAGGCGGTAAGCAGGCGCCTTTGTTATCTTTTTCTTTTTGATATAAAACCGATTTCAGACATGTTTTTCTACTTCAGAGTTATTAACATTTAACACTAGAAGTACCAAGAGGTCATTTTTTTTATCAAAAATGAAATTTAAAAATTTTCCAATTTAAAATTCCATCAGAATGAGAAAATTGATGATGAAAAATTAGAAAATTCGAAAATTATATTTTTAACACGAGAGCAAAAGATATCAATTAAAATAGAAAAGGTGATTACAAGTAGCGGTTTGGTATTTTTTTTTATCTGAATATGTATATGATCATGCTTGCAGCGAGGAAGTGTATGTCGCCGATAAACGGTAGCGGGGCGAGTGGTAGCGGTAGCGCGGAGAATCTGAGCAGCGGTTCCAACAATCAGACAAGTTCAGCAAGTCGGGGCAATGCATCTAATACCGCCAGCAACAGCAATACCACCGCGACAGAAAGCTTCAAGCTGCCCACGCTGACGGAATCGCTGTTGAATCGTCACAATGAGGATATGGAGAAGCTGATGATGCAGAAGCACCGGGAGCTGCGTTCCAGCATCAAGAACAGCGATAAGCTGAAGGATTCGCGCATCAAGACGGAAAAAGTCAATGGTGCGGATCAGAGCACCCATTATCAGAGTCATGGGGTGAAGAGGAGTGGTAGTCATAGTTTCAAGGAGGGTGACAGCTTCAAGGTATGCCTTACCTGATTTAGAAATCCTAATCGAACAGACTTGATCGGATAATAAAAATTGTCGCAATTATGATATGTCAGATTAACGATTAATTTTAATGCGTGGATTCAATTTTCAGTTTTAATAAAAATAAAAATGCAAAAGTAAGCATAAAATGCAAAGTAAATATATATAGATGTATATACAAAATGAATATAAATGTCTAAATAAAATTCATGCTGCTAAATATGATAATAATAATATGGAAACAGGCATCGAAGCACAATAAAGTCTCGAGGACAGGCACGGTGGATCCGGCGAACCTCACAACCACTGTCACCAGCATGAGTCTCGATCAATCGACCGTTGTGCAAACGGGAGCGAATATTAACCTGTGGCCGCCGTTGTCAGTCACGGTGCCTTCTTCCATGCCTACTCAATCTTGCGTTTCACCCCATAAGTAAGAAGATAAGAATAAGTTGATAATATTTTTTAAATATAATTTTTCTTATGCATTTCTTATGCATAACATTCAATTATATATCATATATTACGTAAAAGTCTTGTGTATAAAACAAAAATTCTTGTATGAGTCATATATTGAAAAATATTCCGCAGTACCAATTTAGAAGCCATGCCCAGATTACCGTTGCTCCCGTCGGTGATACCGGTGTATTATGTGCCGGTATCGCAACTCAGCGAGTCCGCGACGACGATGTCGCCGCCGCAAGAGAAGTTAGATCCATCACCGTCAACGCAATCAACGCAACAGAGGCCTTACAGTAGGTGTTTTATTTAACAGTGAATTCAAATCAAAAAGTAAACACGTTTTCCTTCATGGTCAATTATCGTTTTATGCCTCGAAACAAACTACAGATGCTCTCAAAGGCTTTGAATTAGGATTGAGAGAATAAGATTCCATTATAAATAATTATATATAAATTATAAATAAAATTCCTACGGGGGAGGTGTAAAAAAATTTTAGTGTTTGCTCCAGTTTCCTACGTCGCGACGGCCGGAATGATCTATCCGGCGGTGATCGCACCTTCACCTCGCGCTATGATGTATCGCCCCTTTTTGATACCCGAGCAAGCACCTATGGCGGCGGTGCGCGAGAACCAGCAGCTGTCCAACGACAACTGTCCGGATCACAAACGACCAGCCAGTCAGGCGACCAGTATCAAGGCTGAACCGGGAAGTATAATGGCTATGTCCGAGTCTTCCAAGAAGGTAAGACGATTGCATTATGATAGCGCGCATTCTTTTATGTATAAATTGTCCGTCATAGTCAAGATTGTGTTCTATAATATTAGAACTTAGAATTGTTCTATAACATTAGATTAGAATTTTGACGAGTTTAATTAATTGATGTCTTGAAATTAATGTGTTTGGTAGTTTTCTCTTTAGTAAGATGTTTCTTTATTTTTAACAGGTTCAATCTCCCGGTGAGCTGTTCTCGTCGTGCGTAAGCAACGACGGCGGCTGCTCGAGCGTGGTGGATCTCTTGACGCCGGTAATCGCGAAGGAGCATCGTCGGCCAACCGACTACAACGGAGACGAGTCGAGTTCGTCCAGCTTCTACAGCAGCTTTCTGTATAAAAGTAGTGACAGCAGCTGCAATCCGGATCAGAAGACGTGCGAAGTCTCCTCCGAGGTAAAAAAAAACGATACAACGTCCGAAAAACATTCAAGAGACATCTCGATCTTTCTTAGATGTTTCTCTTAAACTTTATGGTTTATCTGGATATTTATCTTTTTTTTATATGAATATAACGAATGCGTAGGAACATACCAAGTGTTATCAGGGAATGCTATCAAGGAGAGATCCGCCCTGGCTGGAGGACGTGCAATTGACGCCAGAATTGATTTACGAGTATCAAATGCATCCGAAGACGTTGAACGAAGTGCTGAAAGCTGACATGGATGCGATGAAGAATTTCAACCAGCCCTTGTTGGTGAATGACCAGCTGGGACAGCTCTATTTGGATTTGGAAGTGGAAGGTATCGGCACCGAGCTTATTCTCGAGGAAGGGATCACGTCGAGCGGAAGCGACAGCGGAAGCAGTAACGGCAGTTGGACGAAATCACAAGTGAGAGGATATAATAATCAATAATCAATAATATATAATAATCAATATTTAAATAATAATCAAAAAATAATATTAAGATTTATTATCAAAATTCTGTGGAATGTTCTGCATTATGTAACGCGAACCGTTTTTTTCTGTTCATAGAGCAAACAGAGAAGAAGAATGATAAAGTACGGCAAGCTAGTGATGATTCACGAGGAAAATGGGCCCGTACCGCCTCCATTGCCATCCCAAAGTATATCTTGCCAGCATCGAAATATATCATAGAAGTTTCCATCGATTTGCCACAGAGACACCCGAGAAATACCCATTTAGATATTTCTCTAGCATGATGATATTTCTCTCAAACGAGATCAACATTGTTTTGTTAGTCTTTAGATTAGATCATATTTTGTTTCTATTATTTAGATATGTTTGTCTTTAGAAGCAGAAACCATCAAAGATCTTACTCTTTGCAAGGAAATTTCTATACTTTTCTATCGATCTTTGATAAATCTTTTTCGGTTTTTCTTTAATGAAGCTATTGCTCAATTTAAAAAACATTTATTTTATTTGGGATTGTATTTAGTATTAAGAGTTTTTACTTTAAATTTGTTTACACATTGAGTTATATTGCATTAGATGAATTGAAAGGATCAAATTTTAAAATTAAATTACTTTTATTTATATCAAAATAATTAAACTTCTAATAATTTTATAAATGCAGAAACTGAATTTACAAAATCAGTTTTGCCTGTATAGCCAAGTTTGATGAAGCACTGATGAAAGTCAAGTTCCTCTTCTTATGCATAGGATTGATCTGCTGGTTTTCAGATCAAATTAGAATTGATTTTTTGAACCAATTGAACATTCTTATTGACAAAAGATTACAAACATGGACCGAGTTGTGTGTGACAACGAATGAAATGCACTCAACGAGAGATATGTGAATTTTTATATTC